TTCAGGAATCTGACAACACTAGTCAAGATTAGAGAAGTTCAATTCAACGTCATACAAAACCAATCAAAAAAAAAAAAAAAAAAAAAAGAAAAGGGAGAAAAAGGAAACACAGAGGCCTAAGTTCCATTCCCAGCCCTCCTGGGCTGTGTGTGCAACTTAGGGCAAGCTACTCAACTTTGCTGAGTCTGAAGTTACCCATCTTTAAAATAGAGAGATAATGCCTGCCCCCATTGGCTAATGATAAGGATTAAGCAAAATTGGATATTCAGAGCCCCAGGTGCCAGATGCATGGTCCATCGTGTACTGGCTGTGATGTGATTTTCAGCCTGGGCTGCATGTTGGAACCACCTGAGTGGCTTTGAAAACTACTGATGCCTGGGTCCACCCTTGGGGGTTTCTCTATAATTTGTCTGGGGTCTGCTGAGGGGTGGAGGACACAGGTATCTTAAACAGCCCCCCAGGTGATTCTGCTCTAGAGCAGACGTCCTCACACTTCAACATGTATCATCATCATTGGGAGGGTTTTTTAAAATGCAGATCCCTGGGCCCCACCCACAGAGTTTCTGATTAAAGAGATCTGGAGTGGAGCCTGAGAATCGGCATTTTCACCTAGTTCCCAGTGAGGCCGATGCTGCTGGTCCAGGAGCCACAGCCTGAGGACCATTGATGTAGGCAGGTGTAAGTAATTGTGACAGGGAGCAGGGTTATAGGGGAAATGTTTGCATCTTTTGCCAGTAGAACCCTTGAATCAGGACCTGGATAGTTCCTTTCCAACACATGGGATAGGAGAGAGGAGAGGGGAGGGAAAGGAGGACAGATCGGGGGGAAGAGAGCAGGAGCTGGGATCTCTCCCCATTCCCAGTTCCGCTGACTGCCTCCTCCAGGCTAGGTGGGAGAGCCCTGGCCCTTCTCACTGGGCACCTTAGACTATGGAAGTGGCCCTGGGGTGGAGGGAAGTCCACATTCTGGAGTTTCTGGAGTTTGCTGAGAAATCAGCCCACCCTGTCTCCAGCCTGTCTGTGCCTGAGGCCTGCTAAGTAGGGAGTTTTCTGTCTGTGCTGGGTGAGGAGTAGGGGCACTGCTTCCCCAGCCTGAGCCTTTCTGGGCTCCTACAGAGGAGTCATTGTCAAAAGCAAAGCTGAGACCCCCAGGAGAACCCCCTGTGTTTCCAAGGAGGCAGCATGGATCCTTAGTCTAACCCCCAGGGAGCAGCAGCTTAGAAGGACAGACTTGTTGGGTCAAATGGGGCCTGGAAATTCCTGCCAACTCTTGCCTCTTCAGCTCTCCTGAAAACACCCAGTGGAAACCCCAGATGTTGTGTGCATCCTGCGGGCGTCCTCTCTTTGGCTCTCTCAATCCAATTGCCCTGATGTCTAGCAGCTTCAGGTCTCATTCAGAGCCAGCCTGGCTGTTTGCAGGCCTGAGTTTCAGCCATTCACTCCTCATCAGAGCTGGCTCTGGTCAGCTTATGGCCCCAGGAGGCCCTACAGGCTCTGGGCTCTGCAGACCTAGGAGGCCTTCTTCCTTCATGTTGTAACAGTGAACAAAGGTGGAGGAGCTACACAGCAGGGGAGGTGCACAAAAGCCCTTCATGGTTGGGCATTTTGCAAAGTGCTGGGTCCTTTTCACCTCCATACTTTTCACCAAGGCCTGGCATAGTGGCCATTGTCACTGACTCCCAGTGGTTGATACTCACCTTGGGTAGGCCATGCTGTGGATGGAGGCGGGTCATCTAGACAGACAGGACCCCTCTGAGATGAGTTTGTCATCTGGATGGCCCTAGGAGCCAAGTGCTGCCCCCACCTGGAGTAATGCTCACCTGGGGGTCCCCAGCAGTCCCTACCCTCACCTCTACGCCGATGCTACCCGGTACCCTGCCCACCTTTCTCCCTCCCGTATCTCCCTGGCCTCTTCACTCCCTTCCCTGGGTGACCTCATCCCTTTCTGGCTTCAGATACCAGATACATACTGATGCTTCCCCAGTCTATGTGCCTGGAACTCTCAGTCTCTGAGCCTGGGACTGCACAACCCCGCTAGCACCATGCTCAGGGGTACAGTGAGGATGGCACCCTATGCAGCTACATGAGGTGGCCCTGTGGGTCCTCATTCGGAGTTGTCTCCCAGCCACTTCCCCATCATCCCCCAGTGTATCCCACTGGCACTCAAATCAGCCACGCATACCTGTGAGCATTCATCTTCCTCCTAAATGTGCACCCTAAAGCATGCCATAGCCCCCGACCATGCACTAAGCTCCTTAGGCCTAGCCCAGGATGGACAAAGGTTTTGGGAGGCATTTTCTGTACCTACTAGAACCAACTTTCCCCAGTGGGTGAGGGTGGGGTGGGGAGGGGTAGTAGTGATTCTTCTGCCCTCAGTCCGCGGCTATCCCCTGTGAGCCCTGTGGCATCAAGGCCTCTGAGAAAGAAAGGGGCCTGGGAATCACACACTGACTATGTGTTTTCCCTCAACAGGACTGCACCTTCTTCAATAAGAAGGACATCCTCAAGTAAGTGTGGCTTCTCGTTCACCCTGTTGGGACTGGGACTGGGGCCAGCGTGAGGCTGGGGCACCCCACATGGGCTGGTTGTGCTAGCTGGGGCTGAGGCGGAGCATCAGCATCTGTCAGGAACCACATTCAGGTCCCCACTCCGCCACTGGGCTGGTATGGAGTTACAGCTTCCCACTCCTCCCGGGGCCCAGATCCTCCTGCTGGGGAATGAACATCTACTTACTACATGCTGAGCTTTCGGGTGGGTGGTTTCAGGCACATTCTTATTTAATCCTCATTGTGACCTTATAACAAGAGAATCCATTTAACCCCATTTTACAGATGGAGCTTAGCAACTTGGCTAAAGTCACAGAGCCAGGGACTCAAGACCCAGCCTCTAACTCCAGGTCCCTTGCTATTTCACTGCATCTGGGTCCTGGTATAGGAGGGAGTCCCTTTCTGTTGTTAGACAGGGGTCCCTAAGGGCCCTTTGGCTCTAGCTTTGATGTTCTTCCACTCCTAGGATGTCTAAAAGTTGAGGGCATACCCATCGCCCCTGAGCTATTCATCAGGGTGCTGCTTCTTCCCAGGACAGCCCTTCTCCTTGGTGTTGGTGGGGATGGGGGGTGGATCTGGATGGCAAAGACGAAGGGGATTGGCAGCCTCAGAAACCCAGGACCAGACGGTGAGCAGGAATCACTGAATACCAAGAAACCTGCCCCATGGGCCTCAGTAGGCCCCTCTGCCCGGGCTATCAGGTGGCACTAAAAGCCAGCAAAGTCCCAGGATCACTTCCCCTGGAGATCGACGGTCAGGCTGGGACCAGAGCCCATTGCAGCTTCCCAAGAGAGCTGTGCTGCAACTTGTCACTGCCCTAACCACTCTGCTCATTCAGTCAGTGCCTCTCGGCTTTCCTCTCTACCCAGGCTATTCCAACCTGTACCCTGCATGGGCAGGGGGCACCCCACTTCCACCACCTTAAAGAGTCTGGGCAAGGGGCAAAGCCCCCAGGCCTGGCATCAGTAGACCTGGGCTCTACTCCCACATTTCAGTTCTATGGCCTTGGGTAACCATTTGACCTTCCCTGAGCCTCAGTTTTCTTCTGTATAATAGGGATAGTGAAACCTACCCTCATAGCATTGCTGAGAGGCCGCAACACTGGGGTATAGTGTTTGATAGGTGGGATTTGCCCTGTAGCTTGAGACATGTCAGGGGTGAGGTCCCCATTTGGACAGCATGGCTTTCAGTATTGGAATAACAAAGCTGTCACCATCACCCCTAGCATTCTTGTGGCACCTTTTACCTTTCAGAGTTCTTGGCATAGAGCCTCATTTGAGCCTCACAGGGAACTTCGGATCCCCTGCCTTTGTAGATGCCAAGCCCAGGCTGCCTGTCTTCTGAGGCCCATGGGCATTTTCATTCTGGCAACAAAAGCGCCTTGCCCCGGCCTTTGCACTGACTGTCACCACTCCCTGGAGTGTCCTCCTCTCCTCTGCCCACAGCATTGCTATGCATCCTTCCAGACCCAACTCCAGAGTCATCCCCTTTATAAGCACCCCAACATCCTGCCACCCTAGTGCTCCCCCAGCTGCTCTAACAGCCTGTTAGGGGCTCTTTGGGTTTCTGGGCCCAGATGCCCAGCTGCCCCCGAGACTTGCTATCAGGCAGGACTAATGGGGAGCATGGCACCTGTTAGCCACCAGTGACCATATGAAGAGTGCGTGGGTGAAAGACAGGATTGGCTGAGGGAGAACATGCCAGGCTAGGGAGCAGCAGAGGTGAGACACAGGCCAGCTTTTCCCACTCCCACTCCCACTCCCATCCTCCAGTGGTCTCACTGAGAGCAGCAAAGTTGCCTGTGTGGGGAAGAGGAGAGAGGAGCTCAAAGGCCAGTCCAGGAATCAGATCCAATATCATGGGCCTTTGGTGGTGGTTTTAGTCCATTCACATGCTGCTATAAAGAACTGCCTGAGGCTGGGTAATTTATAAAGGAAAGAGTTTTAATTGATTCACAATTCTACATGGCTGGGGAGGCTTCAGAAAACTTACAATCATGGCAGAAGGGGAGGCAAACACATCCTTCCTCATATGGCGGCAGGAGAGAAAAGTGCCAGGCAAAGGGGGAGAAGCCGCTTATAAAACCATTAGATCTTGTGAGAATCACTATCATGAGAACAGCATGCCCCCATGATTCAATTATCTCCCGCCAGGTCCCTCCCATGACACGTGAGGATTATGGGAACTACAATTCAAGATGAGATTTGGATAGGGACACAGCCAAACCATATTAGGGGTATCCCTGGCCCCTTGGAAAATGAGGAGCTCCAGGCAGGTGAGAGGACTTGGGGAGGGGTGTTCTGGCTCCCCACAGCCCTGGCCTGCACACCTCTGCACGCATCAGCACCCTAGGCTCTGTAACTCAACACCAGAGCAAAACCCAAGCCTGAGGCCCCGTCTGCAGCTGGGGGATGACATTGCTTGCAGGAGCTGTTTTCTCACAGGGCCCTGCGTCCAGGAGGGCTGGGTGACGGTGTTATTAAACATCAAAAGAGCTACCTGGAGTTTTGCTGCCCACCTGTCCACCCTCAGGGAAGGGTAGTAAGACAAGGCAGGATTCAGGATTGCCTGTCTGTGGAGAGACCAGGCATGGCCATGATGGCTCAATTCCAGTTTCAGCCCTTTCACTTTTCTCCAGCCTTCTCTGTGGAGAGGCCAGCATGACTGACTGCCCCTCCAGGAAAGCCCTCTCCACTGTTCACATCTCAGGTCAGGGTGACACAGCTGAGGCCTGGAGCCCAGAGAGGGCAAGGTCAGCTGCAGAGCCAGGCTGTCCAGCCCCAGGCCTTGCTCATCTTCCCTGCTCCCGAGGGCCTTTCAGGGCTGCTACTCCCCACCCCCACCGGGATGGTTTTCTTGGTAAGCTGCTCCCTGAGTACTGATCAGATGGCGAAGAGGAAACTTGAGCAGGAGGTGTTTCTTTGCATGTTGGGGCCCAGCTCTCTGGCAGCTTTGGGGCAGTGATACCGAGTCACAGATAGCCCGCCTCCAATTCTCCTTCCCTCTGTCCTGCCCGCACCCAGGTAGATCCGATTGCTCCCCAGGACACAGCTCCTCCATTCCCACCCTGAGCCCGAGTGGGCAGCCACCCTGTTCAGTCACCTTGCTTTCCATAGGTAAGAGCTTAGCACTTCGACTTCCCTTGTCCCCTAATTAGGCTGTGCTCTTTAATCAGCGGGACAGTAGTCCTTGTCCCCTTGGTACACAGAGAGGCCCACCCAGCCAGCACCCCAAAGTGTTTGCCTACTTGTTCTTTTATTGTTTATTTTCTCAACCTTTTAAAAGCTTTGTGCAACCTGTTTTAATTACTTACTACACATATACATAATGATTATAGAAAAATTAGAAAATGAAGCCAGTCAAGAGAAGACAAAAAAAAATTACCTGTAAGCGTATGACCCAGAAATAATGGCTATTAACCTTTTGGTATATATTATGCCAGTGTTTTTCTTTTGTATGTGTTTATCAAAAAGTCAGATCATGGCCGGGTATGGTGGCTCACACCTGTAATCCTAGCACTTTGAGAGGCCGAGGTGGGTGGATTACATGAACTCAGGGGTTTGTGACCAGCCTGGCCAACATGGTGAGACCCCTGTCTCTAAAAAAAAAAAATGCAAAAGTTAGCCAGGTGTGGTGGTGTGTGCCTGTAGTCCCAGCTCGGCACATGGCGGAATAGTCAAATTCTTAGAAACAGAAAGTAGAATAGTGGTTGCCAGGGGCTGAGAGGAGGGGGAACGGGGAGTTATTGTTTGATTAGTACAGAGTTTCAGTTTTGGAAGAAGGAGAGAGTTCTGGAGGTGGACCAGTGGTGGTGATGGTCGCATAATAATGTGAACATATTTAATGCCACTGAACTGTACCCATCAAGATGGTGAAGATGGTACACTTTATGGCATGTGCATTTTACCACAATTCAGAAAAACTAATAATTAAAATGATAAATTTTATGTTTTTTTAAATTATTATTATTATTATTATTATTTGAGACGGACTCTCGTTCTGTCACCCAGGCTGGAGTGCAGTGGCTCAATCTCAGCTCACTGCAAGCCCCGCCTCCCAGGTTCACGCCATTCTCCTGCCTCAGCCTCCCAAGTGCCACACCTGGCTAATTTTTTTTTATATTTTTAGTAGAGATGGGTTTCACCATGTTAGCCAGGATGGTCTCGATCTCCTGGCCTCGTGATCCACCTGCCTCGGCCTCCCAAAGTGCTGGGATTATAGGCGTGAGCCACGGCGCCCGGCCTATGTTATTTTATCACAATTTTTTTTTTTTTTTTTTTGAGATGGAGTCTGGCTCTGTCGCCCAGGCTGGAGTGCAGTGGCACAATCTCTGCCTCCTGAGTTCGAGTGATTCTCCTGCCTCAGCCTCCTGAGTAGCTGGGATTATAGGCACGTGCCACCAGGCTGGGCTATTTTTTGTGTTTTTAGTAGAGATGGGTTTCACCATGTTGGTCAGGCTGGTCTCAATCTCCTGACCTCGTGATCTGCCCGCCTTGGCCTCCCAAAGTGTTGGGATTACAGGCATGAGCCACTGTGCCTGGCCATTTATCACAATTTTTAAAAATAAAAAAAGGTAAGAAAAAAGATCTTACTGTCCCCCTACTACCCAAGATAATCACTAACATTGTAGTGACCAGCCTTCCTTTTAGTCTTTCTTTTTGTAGGTATATAAATGTGTACAAGCTTTTTTTTTTTTTTTAAATGGGGTTATACTGTACAGTCTGCTTTTTTCATTTAACAGCTTGCAAACAACTTTCAATATCATTAGATATTCTGCTATAATATTTTAAATGGCTGCATTTAATGGATATTTCTTAATTCGTGTAGTTGAACATTTAGATTTCCAACTTTTCACGATTTTAATTTGTACTTCAGTGAATATTCTTGTGGTACCATTCACATAACTGCACATGTCTGGGTATTTCCAACAAATTGCCTGATCAAAGATATGGATATTTTTA